ATGAGATGGTTGGGAGGAAGGAGGTGTTGGGTATGAGTGAGAGGCCATCTGTGCAGACGAGGCGACGCCCGAAGCAATATCGAGCTTATTATCCACTTGTGCAGGCATTCGGCAATCTGGAACCCTTGGATTGCAGCGTAGTTTTTCCTGTGTAGTGGGACTCTGTGGCCGCTCGTTTGAGGATGGCAAGGTGCTCGGCATCGGCAAATCTGACTGTTGATCCGCGATGGAGCTCGCAGACGCTGGGATAACGGGAGGACAAGTAGAGGGGTCGGTTGCAGAAGGGTCTTGACGAACCTGGCTGAAGTAGCTCATGATCCCTGGCAGACGTTTGTCGTGGAGGTCAGGTTGAGGGGTGGCTACGCCAGACCGTGGTGTGTCAATGCCGATATGATCCGCTGCCTCCTCGTCGGCGGCGGTCCTGGTGGATGATGGGTCAACACCTTGCATTATCGCGATTCAGGTACCAGGTACCAATGTGAAGATGAAGGTCGAAAATTGGCGAAGAGTAAAACGACGAGAAGATGGACAGAATAATGGAGATGAGAGAAGACGAAAGGAAAAAAAGAAGAGGTCGGCTCAAATCGACAAAATACAATGAATGCCTCGCGTGGATGGGCGTTCTGGCAGAAACTGGACGAGGAAAGCCCCTCCTAGTACATGGCGGTTGCCAACAAGAAGCTGCTTCAACGAGGGGCGCAAACTGTGAGGCCGCGGTCCGAGGTGCGTATCAGATCAAGTACTTTGCTTGTGCCCGGAACTACTATTGCTGATTTTGCTGAGGCGGATACAAAGATAGAAACAGCCGATCGAGGCAAAGTAAGGCAACCTGAAGGGAAGAGGAAAAATTGGACTCGGAGAAGGCCGTGTGGAAGCAATCCCGACAGCGGATGTACAATCTAGTCGATATGCATGCATGGGCAGGGCAAAAAGGGTATGACGAGATGGGTGAACCGAATTTTTGCGCCGGCGCGACCATGTGCAGAAGTGGGGATTGTCAAAAACTTAAAAGGCTTGGTTGTGAGGTTGGACTCGTTGGACAGAAGCTCGCTCCGTGTGGTGTGCAGACAGACGGGCCGGCCGTGGACGGAGCCAGGTGCAAGGCTGCCTCGTGTTTGTTGCGTCGTGCGTCGTGCGTCGTGCTGCCCACTCGGGCGCCAAAAGCGACTCTGCAGACAGACCGTGCTGATGGCATCAATTGCGGGCAGTGGGGGAATATTACGGAAGTTCAGCAGCAACGCACCTCCACCTCAGCATTGCCGATGGCTGGAAATGCACGTGGTGGTGTCAAAGTCCAACATCCGGGCAAGATTTGACGAGAACCGCCATTGCCGATAAAAGCACTTGTTTGAGATGGTATTGAATTTCCAGGAAGCTGTTCGTTTTCTTGTTGGCCGACGTGTTGAATGTGAACTGCCTTGTCGCAACATCGAGCACTTGCGGCCTGGTCAACCAGGTCCACCACTTGGCAACCCCCAGTTGTTCCAGAAGCCCAGCGCGCCGCCCATGGCAAAACTGACACGGCGCAGAGGCCATGTCATACATACTAATATGTACAGATTACGCCAGAGGCATCCATCATCATCCCCCATATATAATCTGTAGTCCGTAGTCCGTAGTTCGTAATCCCCCATCCCTCGGGCCAGGTGCGCACTCGCCATCCTTGCCGAGAAATGAGCATGGACAGGACAGATGGAGTCATCCGTACATACGTAACGTCTCTTCTCGGAAACAACGGCACACTGGTGACGGGCTGAAGACTGACTTGGAGAATGAGGGCATCGGGAACATTCGGAAAAACGAGGCAAAGCAAAACCGATGCTTGATGCTTCCGATAATGATGTAGAAGAAGAAGAAGAAGAAGAAGAAGAAAAGGAGCACAGTTACATACTTTGACATCATAGCCTGAGTGGCCCTTCGGAGCAGGTCGAAGCCATTGGAGCTGCCATGCCCATGTCCATGCCCATGCCCATGCCCATGCCCAGCGTGCGCACCTCCATGTGCTTGAGTGTGGGCGCTCTCGGTGCCCGACATGACGGTCGTTTCGTGTGAGCTGCCTGGTGGGTGCAACGTGCAACTTCAAAAGCTAGTCGAGGTTGGCAAACGAGAAGGCGAGGGAGGAGGACGAGGGAAGGATTGATCTGTAAGGCGTCTTGGACGCCACAGGGCCAATATCGACGGCAGGATGGTTGATTGAACCGATATTCGAACAGCAGAGTGTGTAGATTTCAGTTGAATTTGGTTTGTGAGAAGCGTTGTAGGTTGCGGCGGAGAGAGGGTGCTTTGGACAGAAAAACATTTTTGGGGACGAGGCGGAATTCCTCGCCTGGCCACCCGCTGGGGACAGTAGAGAGGTGAGGGGGGCCAGGCCAGAGCGCAATAATACATAAGCAAAGCGTGGTCCGTACACACTGTACATAATATGTAGGCCGTAGGCGCTGAGACTGACTGCCCGTTGCATCCAGTCCCAGTCCCATCAGTCCCAGTCCCAGTCCCAGTCCCCCCCATCCCCCCGGTCCCCCCCCTCCCTGCCGCCCTGTGCTTTCCTCGCAATGAATGATCAGCAGCGATCTTGATCGACTCCGTACGCCATCATCTTTCTCCATCATCTGCTCACCTGCTCCTCTATGCCGCGACCTTTGTGCGACAAGGAGATGATGACAACAGCTCCTTCAATCCGCAGACGCTATGCAGTCATCAGTCTGGTCCAGGACAGGACTTTCTCTGCCCGAAATGACGACTATGACGGCCACTTGTTGGCCGAAAGCTTTCTACCTTGACATTTACTGTGCAGTGTGCACTGTTTCTCGTCCCGGATTCCGTCATCCCCTCTTGATGCAAAACGACTGCTTGCCGGGCTTTGGAATCAACTTCCCAGCCGCCACACCGTCTTCCGTCAGATGATAGGTTCTGGCCAACACTGGGAAGCCGACAGTCAAGCCTACTCGATCCACCCCATTCCGCTCGTTGACGACACTATGCTGAGCTTCCGCAAGGGAAGCCTCCTTCACATCCATGCCCTCCCTGTCTCTTATCTACACATCAGCGACAAAGGACATCGTGTGGAAAGCAAAAGGAACCGTGTGCTTGTTTATAGGTTGTTTATAGTATCAAAGGACGACCAGCCACAACTGTATCCATGCATCCGCAAGCCAAGTTTTTCTTTAAGGATTGCGGGATATTCTTAAAGTCCTGGTCCTGGCCCTCAGCAAATACGACATGTTGGATCAATTCGACAGCCACGTCCATGGATCCGATGCCAGAAGCTTAATTCAGATTCAGGGTTAGCCTTTTTTCCCGTCCTCAACGACGGATCGAATCGTCCCTTTGATCCCGCAACCGGCCCACTCGGCCTGTGCTATTTGGTTATATTAGCACGTGCTCAACTTGCCACCGGAGCCAGGAGCGAGAAGTCGTTACAGCGGGATTGAGGTGCGTCCAACATTTCTCAACCGATCCCGAGCGGATTCTCGGTCCCAACGAACAAATTATTCTCCAGTACGCGCTTCAGCAAAAGTTTTTGCACAGCTGCACGGGTAGCCTACCACATTCAAGCAGGCTTGGGCTAAATTTACTTGCGTATCCCGACGAATTCTTATCGAGCTTGTTTGCTTCTTATATTGTTCTCACCATGACCCATGCTTGTTAGCCAACGCAGGACCTCATTGCCAGAATTCTTTCGTCACTCAATTCATCTATCAACCACGCCTTTCACCACTTCACTGACATACCCCACCAACACATGCATCCTGCAATCATTTGCGGCCGCTGAAGCCCACAATTGCCCCGCCAAAATACATAATTGCAGGCAGGAACGTGCTGGAAGATCGCGAACAGAGGGGTAAGTGGCGCTGTGGCTGTGGTCATGGATTCATCAGGTCGACACCACGCCACCCCATCGGAGCCAAACTTGCTTGCGAGGCTACAGGTGTGTGTGTTTCCTGCAACAACTTCCGGCTAAAGAACTATAAGCACCTTTTAGAAAGTGAGTAGAATCTCAACCAAAAGGAAGTAAGGAAATTAGGAGGAATTTAAGAAAAGTAAAAAGAAAAGGAATAAAGACTAGTTGTTGCAACTACGGATTAATATTAGGTGGACCACAGGGGGAGCATGCGCACTGATGCTGCGCTGTGATTGGGTGCACCTGTACGCAGGTCATGCACGTGACTCGCGATCCCCTCAAACCTGCATCCGGGCCACGAAACACTTATTAGTTAGAACCTACGGATCCGTAATAAAACACTTATCTATCACATTGAATACAACAGACCCGACTGCACTAGTGCATTCATTATCCCTTGGTGACATCAACACCAATCCTTGCTTTTAGTCAATTCCTTTGTGTCTTCTCCTAATTTCCTAACTTCATTCAAGTTAGGATTCTTCTGACTTTCTAAGATGTCCTTATAGTTCTTTAGCCTAGTGGTCATCTTTAGACCTTAGCCATACTTTAGTCTGATCAGTTAGGGTATTCATTAGTCAATGGGTAACGCAGGTACTACCTGGTGATGTGAGTGCCGTGAATCAGGGATGGAGTGCAGAGAGTACTTGGATTGAGGTGGTCAATGAGACTTGTTTTCTTTTGTGCGGCACTAGTGGTTGAATGCGAGAAAATAGAGAGGGGGGGGACAGTCACAGTCGCAGAGGGAGAGGAAATCACGTCAATACAATATACTGTGAGTAAAACTCGAACGGATGCGAGTTTAACTGCGGTCGCGAACTATGACTATATCTTGTGCCAGTGCAGCCACAAAGTTCGCTGACTTTGCTCTAACCTTGCAGACCAATGTATTCGTAACCTTGAAACTGTTAGGGATATGATGAGGGTTTCTGCACTGGTAACACAGTATTGAAACCTAAGCATTCACAAGGGAATTAGGTGTTAGAATATAATACTGTCATAAGTATGTAAGATAGGGTAAGAAAAAGATTTTGATAATATGCTAGCTATTAGTCAAGAGGGCTTAGTAGTGAATAAGGGTTGGCTTTCACATGAAAAAGGCCGTGTGGCTCAATGGCAGAGCGTCTGACTACGACTAATGTCCTTGTGACATTCAGACAATGTAATCAGAAGGTCGCAGGTTCGACCCCTGTCTCGGTCACATTTTTGCATTATCTATGTAGATAGTGTCTAAGAAACCAAATCTTTTTTCTTATTATTGTTAAAAGGTAGGTTTAGATAGTACTATATATCACTATTTTTTTCGCAATATGCAGATGGGTCTGTAAAAATATGTATATCCACTACCAGAGTATTGTTTGTAGTTAGTGTAGTGTGGTTTGTAGTTTTTACATTTAATTTTATATCTAGCTTATTATTAAAGATACTACTCTAAAAATTACGTAATCGTATAGATATAAATTCTAATAAAAATAGTATATTAAAAAGTGGGTTGTTCGGCCGTAAATTACAAACACTACATTTGTAGTGTATTTGTAGTGCTAAAATGTAGTGAAATGTAGTTTTTTTAATTTATAGGCGAAGGGCCCACTTTTAGGCCCACTTTTATATACAACTACATTGTAGTTTTTTAGCTATCTACCTAAAAAAACAAGTTTTATATCTATATATATTTTCTACGATTAGATATATATTATTTGTTAAATGGAAAATACACTACAAATCAATTGTAGTGCAATACTCTGTCCACTACGGAGTATAATCTGAGGCCACGGCGGCTTGTCATGCCCGTGCCTGCACGTTACGTGGCAGAATGCACATGGTCATGGCCAGAGTATTGTTTGTAGTTAGTGTAGTGTGTTTTGTAGTTTTTACATTTAATTTTATAGCTAGCTTGTAGTTAAATAGATTATCCTATAAATTACGTAATCCTATAGAGATAAATCCTAAGAAAAATACTATATATAAAAGTGGGTCTAAAAGTGGACCCCTCGCCTGTAAATTAGAAAAACTACATTTGTAGTATATTTCTAGTGCTAAAATGTAGTAAAATGTAGTTTTTCTAATTTATAGGCGAGGGGTCCACTTTTAGACCCACTTTTATATATAACTACATTGTAGTTTTTTAGTTATCTATCTAAAAAAAGAAGTTTTATATCTCTACATATTTTCTAAGATTAGATATATATTATTTGTTAAATAAAAAATACACTACAAATCAATTGTAGTGCAATACTCTGGTCATGGCCTATGACTCATGGGAGACTACTATAAGGCCAAATATAGCAAGTTTAAAGTAGAGAATTAACTTACTTCTAACATTACATACTACACTTAATCGTAGCTTTTATAAGTGAAATTAGTATAACTTATAACCTGTTAAATCCGTTAACCCCTCTGACGGATTCGACCCCTTATTGTGCAGAGCCAGCATGTAACAGGGCTATAGCTCATATAATTAGGAATATTAACGCGATAAGCAATAAGTGCATGTTTCGTAAGCACTCTCTTTCTATGAGAGAAAAAGAAAAGCTTATTGAAATAGATAACACGAAAGTCATAGATTTAGAGGCAAAAATTACAATGACTTTCCAAATACTAATAGGAATTGGAAGAGGGCGCAACTATGAAGGAAAAAAATTGAGTGACCGAGACAGGGGTCGAACCTGCGACCTTCTGATAACACATGGCAAGTTGAAGCCACTCGTAGTCAGACGCTCTGCCATTGAGCCACACGGCCTGTGAATATAGAAGCGGTCGGCCCTATTACACTATTCACAGGCTACGAAAGCATTTGCTCGATATATACACGTTTTTCGGATGCGGGCAAGTAGTTGGATTCGGTTCGTTGCCGACGGCAGACGGATGTACGCGTGCTACAAAGGTCATCAAGTAGTTGCCGGAGTCTCAACCATGGCTGATTGCCACGACATTGCCGCACCGTTAATACTACTAGTAGATGATGTCCGTCGCAATGGCTCGCCGTATGTAACGAATTACAAGCCCGAGCTCATTCGTTGCTTTTTCCCGCCACATGACATGATGATGCATGCCTGGCAACTTGGGCCCCCCCGGCCCCCGCTCCCCCCCCAACCAACTTTCGCAGGAGAGCCCCGCTGTCCCCGAAAACGACCAGTTGGACAGCGATTCCAGGCCGCGCGAGAAGAGAAGACGATGCTGCCCTGGCGGCAAACGTCAATGCTGTTTTTCTTCCCGTGGCAGGCGTCTGGCAGGCGTCATACGCAAGTATAGCGCACCCAGACCCGAGCGTGCAGTCGCCAAACCCTGAGGAAAAGCGGCCTCGCTGACCTGTTGCTCCATCCAGGCAGATTACTGTGAACTGGACTTTTATCCCCACTGCGAGACAGAGAGAGAGAGAGAGAGAGAGAAGGGCTTCGGTCTCCCAAATTCAACTCAAGAGCGGTTTCTTTTTGCTCGACGCTTCGCTCGAACAGACTCTTTTACAGATACCGTCCGGCTTCAGCAATTTTCTTCAAGGATTCGCTGCCTGCCTTCCCACCATTCTACATATTTCAGAGGGAGGCAGACGACCAGACGTAGATTCAGCCTGGATCTGCACCAGTTCCTGGCCCGCTGAACCCGACACATCGGCGGGCTTCAAGATGAAGAAATTAGCAGTCCCAGATGCCTGGGAGGATGATTGGGAAACGCAAGCTGACAGGGCTGCGATCGAGGAGGAGGACGAGACCGAACACGGAGGAGGGGCGTCACTGCAGCCCGCGCCGTCATTGACAAAGGCAGAGCGCATTACGAAGCATGAGGAGGCGAATCGAAAGATGTGGGAGTCCGCGTAAGGAAAAATATTTTTCTGTTCTTCTTCTTCTCCTTTGCATTTTGTTGTTTCCCCCTCTCTTGTTTCCCTACTGACGTGATGACGAATTGGGAATATATGCGTGCAGAGACTCAACACCGCAAACATTTCATTACGTTGAAGCCAGCAGCACCGTTCCTTTGACTACCTCTTTCAAACCTCAAGTAAAGGTGCTCTCGCGGAAACCAGTCATAGCGAAACGCGATCCCGTAACCGGCGGAATGTCCCAGCTGTCCTTGCAAGACGACGACGATTCGGAAAATAAGAAGGAGCCGCCTCTTACGGCGGAGGAGATCCGAGCAAAGCAGAAACGAGACCTGGAAGAGAGACAGCGTCGGTATGATGAAGCCCGAGCCAAGATATTCGGGGAATCAAATCCTTCGTCGAGGGGGTCATCGCCAGGAACTGTCACGCCGCCGAGATTAGATAGTCGGCATTTGGGTAGAGGCCGTGGGAGAGGGGGCGGACGGGGGAACAATACGAATAATCATGATGGGAGAGGTCAGCTGGATATGAGGCGGGCGAACAATCAGTATACCGCTGGCAGAGAGCTTTACGATCCTAATTTCTCGCCAAAGCCAGACTCAATGGCGCAACAACGCAGAGGAGGAGAAGGTGACGGATCTATGCGGGCGAGTCCCTTCGCCCATGATCAGTATCAACATCAATCGCAGTATCAGCCGCCGTCGCTGCCGCCTCAGAAGCAGCAGCAACAACAACAATTACAACAACAGGCCATACGGTCGCCCAGAGGACCTGACGGCAGTGGACGCGGCGGTTTCGGATTTGCACGTCGTGGCAACAGAGGCAGCTGATTTTCCCGTGGTGTCTCAAAAATCATGACAGTCGCATTCATGTCTAAACGGTGCTCTTCTATCTGCCAAAAGGAAAGATGAGAATGCAATTCTCTCTCTAGTATTCACTTGACACAAAAATCCCGACGCTCCGATCTACACTACCAGCCACCTCCTGCTTTTCCAGCTAGCTGAACCACATTTTCGGCTTCTGTTCCTTTCCCGACATCGCTTATGACCTCGCGATAAGTCGTGAATGCAAGTCTGTCAATGCTTATGCCCGTAACCTCACACCAGTACGCCAGGGTATCATGTATATACGAGCGAGAGATGCCACCAACCACATCGTCGCTTCGGGAATCTTGGCCATCGACAAGCCCGTTTCGTGTCGCGCCATCCGGTTCCTCACACGAAAAGTATGCCTCGTCAACCTCGGCCAGCCACTCCTTTTGTTCCTGGGGACCAGGTTTCCCCCGGAACTGTTTCCGGGCCAAGACCACTGGATCGTCGACCTTGACCTGGCCACCACCATTGGTACAGCCACCGGGACAAGCCATGACTTCGACGTAGCCATACTCCAGCGAGGCCGACTTGCCTGTTGGTCGCCGAGCGCTGCCGAAGGGCTTCCCGCCCGGCATCCGGGACGGCCGGGCAGGCTTCAGCCGGCGCACCAGGTTTTGGATATTCCTGAAGCCATAGTACCGCGCCGCCTTGAACACGGGCTCACCATCGACGGCCACCACGAACTCGACGACGTCTGCGTTGCGGCCACGGGTGGTCTGGATCTCAGCACCGGGTATCCTCGCAGCTTTGCATTGCAGGACGTGATGGAGCAGTCCTCCCGAGGTCCCTGCAGCACGGGGTCCCTGCCTGGGTGGCCGTGTTGGAAATAGAAAATCATGTAGAATCGTATCGGGGAACGGCTGCTGCACTGGTGCCAGCGAAGAAGAAGCAGCAGTAGTAGCAGTAGTAGCAGCAGCAGCAGCAGCAGCATCGCAAGGAATATTAAAAAAGTCAAGCCCTCTCGATTCAGCGAGCATCAGAATCTCCTTGCTTGTGATGACACAGTCCACGTCGCGAACTCCGCGGCCTGGCAGTCCGGAGCCGGCCCAGACCTCATCCGTAAGTTCCTCGCGACTCGCTTCCAGTTTCTTGTCGAAGCACGGCATGACGGCAAGATGCCATATCCTGCTCGGAGGAATGCCCAGTTTGCGGCTCAGTGTTGTCTTCAGCATGGTGCCCATCAAAGCCTGCGGCGACTTGACCCTGGACAAGTGCGGCAACACATGAGGATGCGTCTTCTCTGCATAGCAGACCCATCCTGGACACGCAGACGACAGAATCGGCGGCGGCCGCGTAGATGGCGCTGCGGGCGGCGCCCCGAGCACCTCGTCCGCGCCCAGAACAAGAGCCGCCTCCCTCGCGACATTCGTATCCAGAACCCACGCAAACCCGTTCTTGTGCTTGCCCCCCGACGCCAGCCCCTTCTCCCCCTCGAGCAGCAATCTGTCCATCATGATGCCGGCCTGCCGCTCTGATGCTCGGCGCCCCCCCCACACAGCCGCCAGGTTGGCTCTCGTCTGAGGGGACACACTGGCCACGAACAACTTTGCATCCTCATCCTCCAGCCCTTCCACCGCCCAGGCCCCATCCCCATCCCTATCCGCCCGCACCACCCTCAGCGCGGGCGCGCCGTCCAGCGTAGCCAGCACCTCCGCGTGGCTCTGCAGGCTCACGAGGACGGCCTCGGCCGAGGTCACGCACCCGGAGCACGCCAGGCAGTCCGTAAGAGATATCTGCGCGGCCTCGGCGCGCGTCGTCGGCGCAGCAGCAGCGGGTGTGCCGTCGAGAATGACCTGGGCTTCGTCGTTCTGCGCGGGCGCCGCGGGCGCCGCGGGTAGAGTCTCGACGGGCCGGACGCATGCTACGCCGGGGGAAATGAAGTCGTTGAGGTCGTCGACGGAGAGGATCGCGCTCATGGCGGGGGGGTGTCTTGTGTGGGGGGGGGGGGGGGTTCTCGTGCAAGTGGCGATTTCGGGGCAGTTATTTTCCCTTTTCCCTTTGTCTTGTGTCAATGTAAGTTATTCACAAGAATATTTTCAAGAAAGAAAAAAGGCAGGTTTGCGGGAAGAGATGTTTCAGTAGAAGAAGGAGGGCGTTGATATGTGGTGATTGCGGATGTCGAGGACTGGATTTGGAAATGGAGGAAGTTTGGTTGCACGGTGATAGGACCCCCCCCTCCCCACTAGTTACATGCGACATCGGCGGGTCGGAGTGGCGTTTGAGGCGAAATGGTTTTGGGCCCCGGGTCGGTCCCTGGGAAATGGGCAGAAATGAACCGTAAAGCATTCTCTTTTTTTTTTTTTTTTTTCCCCCATCTGGGACACAAATGGAGGAGAAGGAGAAGATGAAATGGCAACGAGGATTCCCCTTTGCTGAACTGAACCATGACGTAATGTGATGTGACACAACAACACGTGGCAGAGCATTCGGTCGATGACTCGCCGCAGATGTACATATACACACACATTCATCAGTCATGTACGGAGTGCGGACTAGAGGAGCAATCCTTTCGTGTGTGCTGCATCAAACGCTCATCTAATTAATCCACATGATACATGGTACAAACCGACGCCCCGTAACGCCTGCTCCCGCTCTCGCTCCCAATCCCATCCCAGGGGAATGCCCATCATGCGAGCCTGGCTCATCCATCTCCTCCCAATGAATGCTTTTCCATCGAGCCAGGTCCCACGGGGTACGTGCCTGGCCGAGCCGTTTCTTCAAATGAAAATTGGAGGCGGCCTACAACAGCGGGCGCTGCGCTCGCTTTGCTCTCCGCGCCTATGCTTCAGCAGCTTGCTTGCGCCTTGTTGGACTCGCCCTTCAAGCCGTTCCTCTGCTCGCCGTCCTTGAAGTCCACCACGCCCGAGATTTGAACATCGGCGGTGCCCTCGAGGATCGCCTTGCGGCGGTCGTGCCAGTCCACTTCGCTCTGGATGACCTGCGACAGCAACACTTCCTTCTCCAGCCATTCCTTGTAGTAGGCCTCCTCCCACTCTTTGCATTCCTTCTTGAGCGCATCGCCCACCTCGTCGGCCCATTTCAGTTCCCAGT